TCTATCTATCTATCTATCTATCTATCTATCTATCTATCTATCTATCTATCATATTTTAATTAAAATTTTCTGCTGCCCAAAGTCATCTTATAAGTTTTGAAAGTTTAAAGTAGCAGAGTTAAATGAACTGAACTCAAAGAAAACAATATTTGAAGTTTGAATGAACTGACAGCGGTTACAGACACTCTTGTTTTGCGTTTACATTCTGTCGATTTAAAAAGTAGTCTAAAAAACTTCAAGTTAAATTAAGTGGAATATATATACATCATATGTATTTATATGAAGTAAACTAGAAAACATGATTTGACTAAATTCAGTTGTGGTGTTTGACAGTTCAGTTTTAAAAAGTTAACTCTACCTTGACAACATTAAAGTGACTTTTACATGTAAATGCATCATCAATTCCAACACACACACAACAACCTGAATGGGGCAGCTTTGCATAAGAAATTATTTTACTTTTGAAACTTGTTTATACAGTTTTAACATTTTGACCACAGTTACTTGTTATTTAATAATTTTTGGTGTTAATATTTTTACACAAATAAAAGATCTTAATACTTCTGTAATTAATGCCATGAGGTATGTGTACTTATTAGAAAACTGTAGAATGTCATTATTCATTTATTCTTTTTAAAAAGGGCCACAACAATCAGTTCAACACCTCCCATAAGGCAGCTGCAGTGTCTTACTGTTGAGGGACTGACGGGCCTGTTCTGCAGGTCTCTCAGCACCTCGTCATGTTAACATTGACCTTTAAGGCAGCCTCGAGCAAAGGTTTGATGCTGGAAATGTTTCCATTTAGTGCACACAGTACCCCTCTGCTGGATTAACACTCGCAGTTTTCTGTATGTCCCTTTGTTGTGGTAATAAACTCAGTTATGCTCATCAAGATATCTAAGACATAAGATTTCTCCCCAGGAAGATGAAACCACATTCACACCTCGCCACAAAAGACTGTAACGAACCTCTTTGTGGGAGGGGGAGCATTAACGACCCATACAACAAGGAGGAGGAGCAACGAACCCCCAAATGAAACCAAAACTCAGGTGTTAATGGCTCCTTTAGGATATAAGTGTCTGGAACTCCCAACTAGTCAGTCAGAACTGATGAAGCCTCTTGGATGAGACGTCTTCAAGGAACTCAAGCAAATCCAGCTGCTATGATTAATCTACCAGAATAACCGTGACCTGGATGACTGAGAATCTTCACAGACATATTCACCAAGATGCACCATAAATACTCTGTACAAGATGGTCCTTCAAGACAAGTTTTGATGCAGCTGATTTAGTTGTTGTGCAGGTTAATTAACCAGTTACCAAAGTGGTACAAAGTGGTCAAAGGCATGAGAGAAAGAGATATACTTAACTGAAACAATGTGTGTAAATGTAATGTCTTCTATATTTTAAGTTAAAATTGGGTAAATGTCACATAGTGCATGGTGTGCACTTTATCTTAATGGTGTTGAGAGTTTCGTACCTGTGTTAAATGATTTTATCACAGGTTGCTCCTCAGATTTTTCATATTTCGAGAAAATCATCAAATTCAGCTGATGTAATTTAGCAGCACTGGAGCTGCACATATTCCTGATACTGTACCTCCTCTGGTTCACTCTAACAGGGCAGCAGTGACTCAGGCTCTGGCAGCTTTGTGCTGACTGTGAGATCCTGAAATAAGATCAGAGTGGGAGCTCTTCGTGGATCTGTCCTCTCTATGACGCGGTGGTTAAAAATAGATTTCCTGCGCCGCCGGGACTTACGGGACAAATAATAATAATAATAATAATAATAATAATAATAATAATAATAATAATAATAAAGGCAGGAAAATAGAAGAGAGTGCAGTTTAACAAACAGTTCACTCCTCAGATCTAAACGTCCTCACACAGGAACTTTGTGATCAGTTCATCGGGTCACATGATATCTTTTAGGTTTAATTACGTCCACACTATAGGAGCAGTTTCGGATTTTCCATCGTGAGAATAGTTGATCGATACGAAGGAGGAAAAAATCAGCGGCAGGGGAAGGAGGAGGGTGTGAAACCGATACTGCACCGTCTGGCCACCTCCGGCTGAGCCAATGAGAGCCCGCCGAGCCTGATCCGAAACTCATGCGGGCTGCATGCTGGCAGGTGGAGAGAAACTCTGAGAGCAGCGTGCAGAGAAATGCAGCTGCTTCACTGGAGTCACATCTCTGCGCTGAACTAGAGCAGGACATGCAACTGAGAGTAATAAGTGGGCAGCTTTTTTATTTTTGGGGAATATGATTAAGTCAAGGCAAGATGCAAATAATAATAATAATAAAAAGAAGCTTCTTGGGAGTCTGGGATGGGGAGTACTGTCACCTCCATTAGGGCGGCTGTGGTTCAGGTGGTGAAGCAGATTGTCCCCTAATCTCAAGGTTGGTGGTTTGATCCCCTGCCCCTCCACAGTCGAAGTGTCCTTGGGCAAGACATTGAACCCAAAGTTGCTGCTAATGGCAGGCAGCACCTTTGCATGGCAGCTCTGTCACCATTGGTTTATGAATATGTGTGTGAATGAGTCAATGAGAAACACATTGTAAAGTGCTTTTAATACCACTAAACCATTAAGGTAGAAAAGTGCAGATCCATTTACCTCCAAATCCAGACCCAACACCTGCCTCAAGGTGTAAACTGGTAGATTCAATATGTTAACGCTGGAGAAACTTTCTCTGGTGACCCCACAAGACTGTGTTATAAGTACCTGATAAGTGGTGCCCTGGATGCTATTAAAAAGCTGAGCAATGTTGCATGTGCAGTTTAATGCGGTGAGGAATGTTCAGACTATATATAAGGAAGATTAAACCAGCGCTCCACCCTTCCTCTGTTTAATAATGGCTTCCTTCGCTTCTGTCTCAACCCATCTTTTCAGAACGTGAACATCACTGTCCTCTAAGGAGTGTCCCTTATCTTGCATGAGCAGGTGGAGTGCTGAGTCTAGTCTTGATGAGCTGGCTCTCCTGTGATGATGTCCCATGTGGAGAGGATGTTTAGTCTCCTCTATATGTATATACAGTAGGTCACAAAAGTGAGTACACTTAGGGGTGTACTCACTTTTGTTGCCAGAGAGACATTAATGGTTGTGTATTGAGTTATTTTGAGGGGACAGTAGATTTACACTGTTAGACAAGCTGTACACTGACTACTTTACATTGCAAGTGTCATTTCTTCAGTGTTGAAACGATATAATAAAGTATTTGCAGAAATGTGTACTCAGTTTTGTCACATACTTTATATACGTCAGTGCACTCCTCACCACACTGGACTGCATGTACAGCGTTGCTCAGCTTGTGTGTGGGTGTTTTATTGGGTTTACGACACCATTTATCACGTAATTATAATGCTTTCTTTCCTATAAAGTGTCCCAATCATCAACATTACGAGTCACCTTTGACGACATATAGTTGGGACTCATGATCATTCATTTAGAGCTGAAGACGACTGTTGGAGTCCAGTTGTCTTCTACCGAAGCTCTTAAGATTAACAAGAGCTAGATGACTGAGGATCTGCACAGAGAGAAACTATCTGAATTGATTAGTTGCGTGGTCTATAAAATGTTAGATAATGGTAAAAAAATAAAAATAAAATAAAATTCAGTCAGTGTTTCCCAAACCCTAAGATGATCCTAAAATCCACATATTTAGTTTGCTCTCATAGAAAGCAAAGAAACGAGAAAATATTCAAATTTAAGAAGTCGGAATCAGAGACTTTAGAGACTTTTTTTCTTGAACTGAATTATCAAAAAGGCTGACAATCAACAGTTGACATTCATTGCAACATTCATCCACACGACACACAGGAAAACTGAGACGGCAACGTTTTACGGGTCAACTTTAGTTGAATAAAAGCATTAAAACACCAAAGTAAAAAGGCTCCGTTACAAGTGAATATAAAATTTGACTCAAGAACACGTAGAGAGGTATAGCAGCAAAATACATCAACATAAAGGTAGTAACTGCGCGGCATGGTCCCTTCATGTGAGGTACATTATTACACACAGCGAGTTTGGATTCTTATTATTACTGCCTTGTAAAGAAGCAGGTCAAGCTGGAACTACTGTGGAGTGTTGCGTATTTTCTTCAGTGCAGTCATTTTTTCAGTGCATAACTTCTTAGATGTAAATCATTTGCCATTATGTATGGCTGTATTTGGCATATGTCTCTACTCTTTATTATTTATATGTATTGCATAAAAAAAACCCTTAAAGTAAAAGTGCATCTACTTTGCACCATGTTCGGAGCCGTCACCACTCAAGTGTTTATTCTCAGGCACATATTTGAATTCTTAGGCTTGTGTACAGCACAGTGAACATTCAGTTCATCCACAGCAGCATACGTTATGGCTTTACCGTGTCTTTTCTACTCTTTTTTTTTTTTTTGTACAAGTGATTTCAGTGCAACAGAATCAGGCTGCTTCAGCTTTAACCAAAGGCCACGTTTTGGCTGGCAGAAGACAACCTGTGCATGGAGAGGCACATTTACAGCAACAGCAGCGAAAGCGTCAGAACTTCCTGTTGTGCAGCGCAGCGACCTGCCGCAGCGAGTCTCTCTGGTTTGGGCTCAGTCGGGTTTTGCTGCTCACCTCCTGCCACTGAAGAGCGCCGTTGCTGCTCACCACCTACAGCGAGAGGCGGCAGAGAGTCGTAACCGCAGAGGCCAACATCAGTCCACCACTGCACATATTTTTTTTTAAAGTAACACCGCTCTCACCATATTGTTGATGTCCATCATCATCTGGCTTGTTCTGTCCAGGTGAATGTTTAGGACGGTGGTTTCCACCCAGGCGTTGTCTGTGTTCCTGTAGTCATCCACGTAACCCTCAAACACCTGAAACATCATCAAGTCAAGACAAACATTTTTAAATTGATTATCAGTCATTGAATTAAATTAATGATCACGGCTTGTAGGTTTGATGCCCCACAAAAGCCCATGTGTCTTCTACAGCAGTGTTATTTACATGTTTATAATATTATAATAAAGAGTCTCCGCTAAATGTTAAAACTTTACTTGTAGAGGATGTTGTGCTTTGATCAATTATCTCTGTGATTGGACATGTCTGAGATTGTCAGAGGAGGCCTTTTCCCCCTTGTTCTCCATGTTTTAAATCAGGTAACACTTTTAGATGAGTTAGTTTAGTTAGATGAGTCAGTAAAGGACAAAGGAGCATTACAATATGGTCCACAATGATTATAAAGATGAATCTTTTTAAGGGGAATTTATCATAAGACTGTTATTTTAGATTGCATAACTTTCAGCTTTAAAAATGAACAGGTTCCCTCGCTACAAACTCAAAGCTGGCTTTCTGTAAGTCATTTTTTTTAAATTCCTGATTGCACTTTAAAGCCACACAAGGTCTCTCAAATCAGTGGGTAAAGGCCTCCTGGTTGTAACCTGCTCAGCTTTTTAACCTGGTTGATCAGATCAGCAAATACTCTATCGATGCTAACTTGTTCACATCTGTTCTTCTTATTTAAGAATTGTGGCTTTTCATTGATTTAAATACTTATTAAAGTGTATGTTAGTGATGTTTTACCAACTTTATTAATACAGATTCAACTTTTTCTTTTTTTGGTTACATCAGGATTCATCAAACTGTGACTTGGCCTGTGACTAGCTGCGAATAACCCAGTGCTGCCCCCGGTGTCTTTCTCCTATGTGGTTTTAGTGATGAAGTGTACGCCTTTAAATGTTTGTAAGATCGGAAACTGACAGTGGAGAGCAGGGCAGCGAATGCAGGAGGAAACAGCCGCCGATTTACACGTAGCAAATGATCCACGGCTGGGATTTGAACGGCGTGTGTCCATGTGATACACCCTCGAACCACTCAGTCACCCTTTAGGTTGCAGATTTATAGTTGTTTTCCATTTACTGCTGCACTTTTTGTTCTTACTGTTCCTCTGGCTGCTTTAAAAGCCCTGCAAAGAGTGTCAAACAGACCTACCTTTGTTCCCTCTGATGCTTTTGCGTTTATCATTTCATACAGCTTCTTTCCCATGGTTCTCTTAAGAGTCACGGGCAGGCGATTGGCAGAGTCAACAGGCCCCTAAAGTTTTATTTTTGAAAGAGAACAGAGCATTTATTTGAACAGCGAAAAAACAGTAAAAATAAAAAACACCTGAAGTGGACGCACAGCAGGACTCACCCCAGGTAGGGCCAAGGTTCCTCGACTCTCATCAAAGACAGCCAGGTACTCCAAAGCGGACCTCTCGCTGTCTCGCCAGCTAAAAAAAAATCAATTTTCAGAGTGTTAGATCATGTTGTGCAACCCAGTGGTAGGGAAACAATCTCTTTAAAAGCTCTGTTAGGACATGTAACGATGACCCACCGTGTGAGCACGAGGTCGAGATTCAGGTTCGGACCCAGACGGTCCAGTGCACCTCGTCCCCGGATGCCCGTCCTCCCTCCTGGGTTTCTGATAATGAGACGGCCCGTATCAGACATCAAGACGTGCTTGTACAGTTACTGTAAGTGCTATTTGATGCCCAGCGTATCTTATCTTGTATCGTACCTGTAATTATCTAAGGCTTGTGGTTCTGATCTGCGAGGAGGAGAAAGAACAGATGAAAAGTATACGGAGACTGGAGGAGGTTTAGCTGGACAGTGGACTCAGATTTAGTCTGAAGTGTAAGGTATTGAGTTTAAACTGTTTCGAAATGCAACCCGAAAACTGGCATTCATGGGTCACTGAGGAGCTGCTAATTAGCATTTACCCATCCACGGTGTCGCCGCTGCCTTCAGACGCGTAATAAGTCGGCATGTACGAGCTGAAGCCGACCTGAAAAGAGAGGACAAGAAAACCACCTGAATCCAAAAATCCCAGCGTTTTTCTGACACCTCATAATTTCACGGGAGAAAGTTTTTGTGAAATACCTCCCACGGCACTTTCTCCTCGGGCACAGGAAAGCGTGTGAGTTTGGTGTTCGGGTAGTGAAGCTGGCGGGAGTTCACGTGGAAACCGTCCTCTTTCTCTGACGTGTCAGGGGTGTCGTCTGTTGTGTTTAAGGCTGCAGGGGGGGCAAAAAAAAGTTAAAGTGGAGTTAAAGTAACACGCTGGGAGAATAAAACAACAATATGGAGATGTAATTCAACAGTAAAGGCGAATGCTGACTCAGCGATGGTGGTTCTTTTGCAGCAAAACCCTGAGATTTCAGACTGTCCATAATCCACTGCAGGGCTCTGGTTGACTGGATGACCTGAGGGGAGAAAATAAAATGGGTCAAATACCTCTGATAACTGCTTAGGTAAAGATGACAGATTTGTTCCGCAGGGGACACGTGGAAGCACAATTTAACAGACGCACAGACGTCTGCCGTCTCTGTTCGGCGCCGTAGCTGTGAAATGTTACAGACGCAGGTGCGACATTACTGACAACCACAAATCAGGTCACAACCTGCTCCTCTAGTCGGGCCAGTCTTTTCAGCATGGCGGCGGAGCTCGTTTCCTCTTCTCTCTCCAGCCGATCGCTTATGGTGGTAACCCTTAGAAAACAAACAAGTGCGGCGTGAGTGTGTGTTTGCAGATCACTGCCAAACTGTTGATTAAATATTTAGCAGCAGCCAGGCTCAGCAAACCATCTCCTGGTTACAGCTTTATATTTAAAACACAGATATGGCAACAATCTTTTCATCCACCTCCACGAACACGTACATTCTCCAAAATGCCAGTTATAGATTTGCTTTTAAACCTGCAGTCTTTAAAAATTCTGACAGCTGCAGGTTGAGGATTTTTTTCCCCCTTACATTACACATAATAATCGGACCCATTTTTAATATAAATACACTACAGTGCAGCTTCAAAGTTGATTTCCAACCAAATTCCACAGAGCTGGGGGTCAGAGCCACAAAGCTGGACACAATCTAAATCTAAATCTAAAGAGGACTGTTAATTTGATCCAGAAGCATCAAAATTCTGCTAAAAAAAAAAGCTTTTACATAAGTTCATTAAAACACTAATAACTCATTATAGTGTCTAGAGGCTCATATGAAACAATTACGAGAGCATATAATCACACTCTGGTTGAACTGCTCATGACTCGAGCATATTAGAAGATGCACAGACAGCAGCACTCCTGAGGATCGTTATGTTTCGACACTCGGCAGCATTCCTGTGGGATTTTACTTTTGGGCTGTATCCAGGATGCGTCTGTCCACGCTCTGGCTCTGCTCCTGCTGTGCAGACAGCAGGTATCTGTCCTTCATCAAGGCCTCCCAGGACAGCAGCTCCTCTTCCTCTATAGCAGGAAGCTCGTTCTCTGAAAAACAGGCGCTTTGCATCACTACGTAACCTAATTCTGTGCACACACATACACGCGCGCATCTACGCAGACGGAGAAAGCTGCACGACAGACAAATCGGGATTGAGGTAAACAGAAAATTTTATCACGTTAAACTCTGTGCTGGCGGAGCGATGATACATGAACACAAAACACAGATGACACAGCGTCGACTGTGGAGGGGTCAGAGGTCACTGACTAGAAGTTGTTGGACGGCAGACAAAAACAAGAATAAAAACATCATACATGGGTTGCGTGATACTAACCATCTCCATGACAACTGAGCAAACATCCTCTGCTGATGAACACCATGAGATGTGGCTAAAAGCTCTAAACACAAAGTCCAATTTCTTTTTCCTGCAGTTGAATGCTAGATGTCCGACTGCTGGTGTTGTGGGCTATTGTGCAGTCAGTCATGAGTGTTTGATTTTGTTGCTGCTGTCATTTGTCTGACATTTTCTTCATGACAGTGACAATAATGTGGCTCCTAATTGCACCACAACAGTCCAACATCAGTAAGTAGTAAAGTTTTAAACAGGGTGCTAAAGCTAAACCAAAGAACTCTTCATGAAGTCGACTTTCCACACAGGCAGAAATAAATAATTCATTACTTACTGAACTCTTTGTATTGGATGGGGGGCCTCCGCAGCACCATGCTCCTGATGAAGAGGTAGAGATGACTGAAGAAGATTAAAGGAGGAGGGGCGGTCGGACGGCTGTGGTACTCCTTAATTAGCTCGTATCTCTGAAACTTCCATATACAGTCTGTGTTGTCCTGGACTTCCTGGAATGTAAAGCTGTGCGGCGACACGAGGAAAGACAGGGAATGACAGAGGAAGACAAGGAGTACGAGAAAACAAAGAATGCATCAAACTTGCAGAAACAGCGCGTCTCTCGCTGTGACGTTGAGGCGAACTCACTTGAAGATCGCTATGAGCAGGTTGAGCAGCAGTATGTTGGCGAAGAGCAAGTACACACAAAGCATGATGATGGTGAGCCACTCGGGGAAGGCCGGCGTTTGATTGTCATTCAGCACAGGACACTTGGGCTTCAGAGGGTCGGTGCCATTCATCGTGCAGCTGTCTATGTCAAACGCAGCGTCTGCAGAAAGCATCATCAACAAGCAAATGTAACCCTGAGCTGTACTCTGACACACTGAATCTAAAACTAGCTCGACTCTCACTTGACAAAACCACACAGTAGTTATAGCAACAAAGACGGACTCCAATTCCACTCACTATCAATGCTATCGGGAAAACTCCCAAATATGATGAGGTACGGCTCGTAAACCGCCCCACGGACAACCCAGTCCAGCCGGTCGTCATTCTCGATGAGGATGCCTTGCTTGGCCACGCCGTACGCCACCACCCAGATACTCAGCAGAAACATGAAGAAGAACATGTCCATCATCTGGAGGACAAACAGACGTCTGTCACGAGCAAGAAACACTGCAAAAGTGCCACCAGTGATGCACATTTTCACATCGAAAATGTTAGAACTTGTCAGTCAGTGCCCATATCGTCACATCTTTTAGATTTAGCAGTTTTAGCGTTTAACACTTGGGCCTTTTGTTGCACAAACAATATGATGAAAAATGTGCACACAAAGAATAAACCGAAATGAGTGGAAGTGCTGAAAGTGGCTGAGCACAAATCCCACTGAAGTCTAGAGTGGTAACAAAGAGACCAGCTGTACCACTTTGTTCAAAAACACCTTTTATGAAACACAAAGAGCAAATTTCATCTGCAGACACCAGATGGAGGCCCAGTGAGGCAGAAGCCTCTTTTTTGTATTAGATAAAAGGTGTTCTGGAGCGTAGCATTTTGTTCTCTGCTGTTGCTCCCACATTACATCAGGTCGCCATTCATTATATTTAAACCCTCTCACCATCCTTCGGACTATGATGATTTTGGGTCCCAGGGTTCGGCTGATGGTGAAGATGGCCATGAGACGGAGGCAGAAGACCACGAAATCGATGCAGAGGAGGACTTTACCTGGATACAGCAGCTTGTTTGTCAACCTGAAGAACAAAAACTTGGTGATTCATCGGTAATCCAGTGGGTGGAGAGAGCGTGACAGAGAGAGAAAAACATACCTAAACGCAAGGCCGATAACAAACAGGATGATGGACAGGACGTCTAAAATATTCCACAGTTCGTGGATGTACATCTTGGCTTTCCTACGGAACCCAAAACCGTCGGGATCATGAAAGAGCTGAGACAGAAAAAGACAAAATAATACGGGCACATTGGGATTGTGATATTTATTACATGTAGTAAAACAATATTGCTCTGGAGAAACAACAACGAGCACATTGGTAGAGTTAAACCTCAGTAGGTGGCACACAGTAACTAAAGATGCTCTAAAAAACACCCAGCATGAAACCTGGTGAATAAAAGTAATTACACAGTAAGAGAGAACGAAGGTCTGGTTATGAAACCTAATAGTTTTGCAAAAGCCTAAAAAAATAGTCAATCTATTCTCAGATATGAACATGTGGTAAGTAAACTAGATAACCAGCCTGCAAAACGTCAACTAATGCAATAGGCACAAAAAAGACAAGAAAAAAAGGCTTTATATTTGACCACAGTACACTGAATACTCAACCAAAAGAGAAATTCTTGTTATTGGATCCAGCAAACAGAAACGTTCATATACTGCCATCTAGTGGGCACATAAATGATCACATTACAGTTCCTCTCCGGGCATTGATTAAACCCCTTAAAGCTCATTTTGTGGACCAAATCTGCATATCTAAATTCATCCATCCATTATCTATACACCGCTTAATCCTCACTGGGGTCACAGGGGGGCTGGAGTCTATCCCAGCCGACATAGGGTGAAGGCAGGGGACACCCTGGACAGGTCACCAGTCTATCACAGGGCTACACTTAGAGACAGACAACCAATCACACTTACATTCACACCTACGGACAATTTAGAATCACCAATTAACCTCAACATGTTTTTGGACTGTCGGAGGAAGCTGGAGAACCCGGAGAGAACCCACGCTGCACGGGGAGAACATGTAAACTCCACGTAGAAAGATCCTGGGTTTCCTCATTGGGACGTGAACCAGCGAGGCAACGATGCTAACCACCGAGCCACCATGCAGCCCTGGACCAAATCTACATGTTTAAATATCTGTTTAGTTTGCATGAAAATAACCCTGCATTAAAATGGTTTAGATCACATTACTCTAGTATGCGCAGATCTACTCTCTGGACACTCGCTGCAGCTCAGCACACCAGCTCCTGACTCGCTTCAAACACTGTAAAAAATACTCTGCACTACATCAAGTTGTAATATCACATCAGAGACACATGTTCAACCTGGAGACCGATTCTGAATGATGATATAGAAAGCCTCACCCTGCAGGTAGATGAGATTGTTAATTTTTTTTAATGAAATCCCAAAAGTGTGAGTTTGTGTAAACTGTCATTTCCACGGTAGCAGTAGAATGTGGATACGTTAACCAGATGAAAAACTGGAAGCCTGTTGCTAGAAATCTTCATGTCCTGTTTGATTGTGACTCAATTTTTGAACGGCACATAACAAACCGTTTTTGTCCAACTAAAGAACATCATCATTACTTGACCAATTTCAAGTGTTAGTGATAAAATAACATTAAAACATGCTCTTATCTCATCACCACTGACTTACAGTAACAGCTTTTCTTAGTTCGGCTGCAGACGGTCCAGAACGGAGCTGCCAGGCTTTTAATCGGACGAGGAAATAGCTCTGACCGCATCACAATGGTTTTAGCCTCTTTACATCGGCGTCTTCAATCATTTTTATGGTTCTTTTGACTACTTACGGGGCACCACATGGTCTGACTGCTTAGTACGTCTCTGGTCTTTTATGCCAGTACAACTTCTACTCACACTCTGGGATCGTCTGTCTAACAAGGATGTGAAGCAGCCTGCCGGAAGAAGTAAAGCAGGACGAGTCAGTGGTTTCTTTTAAATCTATGCTTAAGACATAATAAATGCTAAGTGCTAAATAAATACAGCAATATTAATATTATCTTTGCCACAGGACTTTTTTTTAAATAGCAGACTTGCTTCCACTGAAAAACTCCAGTAATATTCCAATAATATACAGTTTTGTAATATGCTGCCACTTTAATCAGCCTTAATTGTAGTTTTGTGTTTTGCTTCTCCTGTATGCTTTTTGTCTTTCTTCCGCCGTTGTCTCAATTTGTGTCTCATTTGCATTATTTTGTGTCTCATTTGTGTTGTTTTACGTTGTTTCGTGTCTAATTTTCATCATTTTGTGCATTGTCTGGACCATTCTGTGTCTGGTTTGTATTGTTTCCTGCCTTTGTGTTGCTTTGTATCTGTTTTTGTCATTCTGAGTCTAGTTTGTATAACTCTGTGTTCCAATACTTGCCTCGTTTGTGTTGCTTTATGCCTGCTTTTGTTGTTTTTTGTCGTTTAATGTCTCGTTGGTGTCATTCTGTGTTGGTTTGGGTCCTGTTTGAGTTGTTTGTTTGCTTCCTTTGTGTCATTTTGTGCCATTTCTTTGTTGAATTCACACCTTCAGTTTTTATAATTAATGGTCACTCTTGTTTTTGACTCCACAAAAGAATCAGATTTGACAGTTTTTACTCATATTTTGGAAAAACTGCACCCTGTTAGAGTTTGACCTTGTTTTTACAGTAATGTATGACAGTGTAGAGCAGCTCCGTGTTATGCTGCTTCCTCCACCAGCTGACTGCAGCTGTAGTTATCAGGAACACTTTAATCTATTAAAGCATAAACAGGATCAATGTCTTTACTGAAAACTGTCATTCTGCACTCTAACAGTTTATTTCTGGCTTTGACTGCTGAGATTTTACTCAACTAAAGAAATAAGTTCAACCTGTTGGAAGTTTGTATCCCTTAAATTACCTTAATAGTGTCAATAAACGAGGCTTTTTTTAAGCTGTGTTGTAAACCAGTGCAGTCAATCAACACATTCATAAAGGACAAGTGACCGACAATAGTTGTTGGCTGAAGTCGTTTCACTCCTCGCCAAGAAGTGATGCCAAAGCAGCTGTAAATAACAAGCACTGCAGTGTGTTTTTTTTGTGTTGTTTGTTTTGTTGCTGTTTATTTATTTGTTTGCGTGTCCCAGCTGCCGTCTCTCACCTGTCGGACCTCCTCACACACCAGAGTGAACAGCCAGACGTAGAGCAGCAGCTCCGCAGGAGACGGCGTGGTCTGGAAGTCGATCATCAGCACCACAGCGAACAAGAAGAGGAAGGCGAAGTAAGACACGATGTTCCCGTAGAACTTGGCCTGCGGGGAGTCGTACAGACACACCAGCCTGGACCAGCTGCCCAGAGGCTTCAAGCGCCGAAGGCTGAGGACAGAAAGGTCGTCGGGGTTAAAGGGACGACTTGATGTGTTCAGATTTAACTAGTTCATTTTTCGCCCAACTGGCCTTTGAACCGTATACTTACGGGGTACGAGCCTTCGTCCGGAGTGTGCTTCCTGTCACCGTCTCCACTGTCTTCATCTCCTCGCTCTTCTCGGTGTCTTTCTGGATGAGTTCGTCACGTCTAAGGAGAGTTAGAGTAACCATGCTGACCAACACTGATGATGAAGTACCACAACATGTTGCTAAATTCAGGTATTTTCTGTCATAAAACATAAAAAATAAACTTATGCATGTTTGTAATCTGGGATTTAGCCACTTCCAGCTTTAACAAAACTATAAACATAATCAGTTATGATTAGTACAAACACCAGTGAAGGAGGACTTGGTGCCACCAAGTGGTGTCTACAAATAAATACTCTGAAGAGTCAAAAAAAAAAAGGGGGTCAGTGGACGGATCCAGACGGTCAACTAAAGTTTCAGACAAACCATGGCTGCTATATAATATATGCATAAATCTCTAATTAATGTTATTTTTATGTCAGGTACTTCCTCTTGTTGTTTTATGTACTAGGTCTTAATCTCAGTCAAGTTTCTCAAGTTGGAACGTCTCCAGTGTTTTGGAAGTTGAGGGAGACGGACTCTGAACTCCACATACTTCTTTATGACGCTAATATGATTTTTATTTGGGTGATTAGAGAGAAGATAAAAAAGCTTTGTTAATTTGTTCTAATAAAAAACCCCTATAAACTCTATTCAGTATCTATGCTGGCCTTATTAGATAGAGGTTTATAAGAGCTTTTAGATGTTATCTGTCACTCAACCGTCCAAAACACTCACTAGTCAGACTGACTACTACACAGGAAACTGGCTGATCTTAAACACACATGTAGCTGTTAGAACGTGGCCTCAGTTCTTTTTCTGCTAAATGTAATTTTGGATCTGAATTTGAGAGAAAATGATGAAGGACAGCTTTATCTTTATCTTTTTTTTTTCCAGTGCTCAGGGTTTGAGGTCACTGACACCTCGTCTGACATAAATGCAGAATTAGTACGGCCACTTCTGAGTTGCTGTCAATTTATCTGACAAGTTGCATTTGTCGATTTTAAAAGGTGTGGTCTGTGATTTTTAGAATATTTAGACAGTCAGCATGAGCCAGATTTAAACATCTGTCCCACTCCCGCTGCACAGAACCGCTAGTGGACCGAGACATTTGATGATTTTGATGAAACTGTGTTTGTGTTTATTAGTTTCAAATTGGGCTTAAAATTTTTCCACTATTTCTAATTGGTCCCCCAGTTTTACAGTTTCCACAGAGCTCTGACTTGTGGGCATTCAAATAAAACCGATGTGCTCCTATAAAGAAATCACCTGAAAACCAGGAAGCCAGTGTAGATGAGAGGGAAGAAGACCATGCAGACCAGAACCCTCCACACTGGGTTGTCCACTGAAAGCTCACCACACCAGATTTGAGTCAGAAGAGCCTAAAGGACAGACATTTTGTCATTTTATCAGCAGTTAATTACATCAAACACTCACATCAGTGTATCAAAGTCATTTTAAAAAAAACAAAACAGAAAGTTATTAATCAAGTCAAATTCACAGATCAGTGGTACAGAATATATGTTTTTTTTAATATAATTTGAATTCTCAATTCTGACTTCCAAGTTGTAAAACGTGTTGGAAAAGCCCCCAAAGAAAAAAATATCTCAGTCCTCATCTACCTGAACACCTGGCTGAGCTACGAAGCTTTTATCATCGGCCTCCAGCGCCAGTCGCAGGCACGTCGTCCGGCCCCACAAGTGTGACGCACGAACCAGCAGCTTCCGAGCTCGTTCAGCGTCGCTGCTGTGGCACTCGCTGAACACGCCTGCAACGCACATATACACACTGGAGATAAACCCCAACCACGTCACATCAGCGCCATCAAAGCCGCCCTTCGCGTCATACCAATGGCGTGTTGCTCGTAGTGATCGGCGAGCTCCTCCATGTCCTCTGCCTGATCTCCCTCTCTGTCCTCTTCTGCCATTTTCTTCAGGATCTTACTGGCAGCCAGAGCGGCAGACATGCAGTCTCTGCACTGTGCACATGCAGATACAGAAGGATGCAAGGTCAAACACACACACACACACACACACACATGCACAAAAGACAGGCTTCAAACTTTGTCTGCGTCACCTGCTCCCAGGCGATCTCAGCCAGCTCCTTGTTGTTCTGCACGACGGCCCAAAGGAAAAGGTCTGTGCCTGGGTCCCTCTGAACTTCAGCAACGTCCTCCCTGAGCGGAGCCTGTGAGTCTGCCTCACTTTTAGACAGCTGAAGGAAGAGTGAAGTTGCTTTAATCGAACTGTTTATGGCCAGGATAGAGCTTGGATTTCTGAAATACGATTCACGGCAGCTGGACAAATAAAATTCATGCATTCAATCACAACATCCCCTCTGGATAGATTCATGGTTTTAAGACAAACATACTCACTGACTGTGACATGTCCTCTATGGACATGTTGAAGTGGAATGAAATGTTGGGTTGAGGGTAGATGCGTCGGGTGAAGCTGCCCAGCAGGTGTCGCACCTCGTCGGAGACGTGAGTCAGGGAGATCATCTCTCCTTGCCCTACGCGAGCTCGAGTCCTGATGGCGAACGCTTTCCTCCGGTTGCGGCGAGAGCTGTGGACCCGCTTGGCCAGCTTGCGCAGGAAGAAGCAGCTGGGCAGCTGTTTGTAGAGCTCGCACAGGGTCTCCTCACTCTGCAGGAAATCCCTCAGACTCACACCGTTCTCCAGAAGCAAACTCACAAACTCGGGCTTGTCGCCAACCAGAGCGGAGAACATGGCCCAGTGGAGATCACTGGACTGGAGGATGAGGAGAACAAGACACATTAAGGTTTTGAGTGCTGCTTGTGCACAGTTATTGATTTTCAGCAAAGTGTCAGGCTCTTGACTGGTAATACAAAAAAAATCTGGATAATAACTGGTTAGGGGAGCAGTGTGGAGACCTGAACAGTGTTTTATGGTACAACTGTTCTCTCACCCTCACATCATACATTTTTTATGACATACTATTTTTTACCATGCTGTGCTGGTGTGCTGTTACCGACTCAGTTGACTTGACCAGCTTCCCTTTTTGTCCCTTTACAGGCTTCATTTGGGGTTTTCTGTATTCAGTGTGTATTTCTCATATTTGTTGTATGCCACATTTGGACCAGTACAGTTCTGAACTGAGTAAACTAACCCGTATAGTTGAATTTATCTTTCTTATCTTTCTACCAGCATGATTTCCTGTTCCGTCTATTGTGCTGATTTTATCTTATCTAACTGTAACGAGGCTGAATAGTGTTGCAACACAGAGTTAAGTTGAGAGGATCGCTTTTATTAATCAATCCTGCCTCTGAGGGAAAAGTTTAGCTCACACAAATATGCATCTTGCCCACCCAATCAAAAGTTTACAACAACAACAACAACAAAAAATAGTTTGTCCAATGGAAAAAAGTGCAAAACCTATCAGTACTGTTTCTGACTTTAATTGTGTGGGCAGGTTACAGCCAAAGTGTCTTTCGGAGCAAACAAGACAAGCAAAAGGGCAAACATGATACCACTGCCTGAGAAAGAATGACTCACTTAGCTTGCTCTAACTTGTGTATGGACTTAAACAATTAGAGCCTTTAGTTACGTTTTCATTCTTCATGCTTATTAATGCCTCAGATAATACAAAAACTCCGATGTTAAAGGAGGAGATGCCCGTCTCTGGTCTTAAATCTGGAATCCTCTGATTACTAGCCTCAGGACTACCAACCACCAGAGCTGCATATCTGATATTTCTACCGCCACTAAAGAACCTGATGCCAATGATGTTAGTATGTATAACAGTCGTACTCACCTTCCACTTGCTCTCCTCAGTGAAGATCTCGGTCTCGGCGATGTCCACTCGGTTCCAGGCTATAGCCAGCTCCAGCTGCCTCCTCCAGCTCTCGATTCCCAGAGACTCGCTGGTCCTCGAAGCTGAGTGGAGGATTTAGAGCGATGTTATTTACTGTACATGACAAATGTGTTTACATTTAGTTTAGTTTAGGCTCCTCCAGAGCTTATCCGCTCCTACTCGAATGCATCTTGTGATTATTTTCATTGTCTATTGATTGATCTAATTTGCAAAACGGATTCTTAAATCATTCAGTTGTAATGTTTTGTTGCTTGTTTTGTTCAGCCTACATCTTGCAACCCAAAGATATTTAATTTACAACAAGGAAACATACTAATCCTTACATCAGACCAGGAAATGTTTGGCGTTTTGGTTCTATGGGTGAATCGGTTGATGAATCAAACACCGTGCTTTCACCAATAATGCAGGCTGTTGTTAGAATGGCTTTAATCGTACACCAAGATTCTCCAATCTGGCCTCAGAGGACAGCAGACAGTAGATGTCCAACAGTCGCTGAGTCAGCAGAACGACTACACGATAATGTATTTTAATTACTTAAATGGAGCTCAGTGATGGAAAATCTGGGCAAAGCAGTTTAGCTGGACTGATGACTCACTGTGATCAAAACATTAAGCGACTGACCAGCGCGGTGGACTCACCCTTTGCTTTAGTGCACTTTGCATCTGAATTCTTTTAGACACCATAAGCATTAAGCTCGATCTAAATGGCTTTCATCAATCTTGAGGTGGAATTTCTTTGCCCTGCATTGCAATGGCATTACTGCACTATTTCTAAAATAGATGAAGTGTGGCTATTAGTGTCATTCTGTAGAGAAATGCAATCATTCACGTCAAAAAATATCCTGGTTTGTTTTCAATCAGGATGCATTTGATACCACCATCCGCTCATTTCTTCCTCCAAGAGGCAACATAATACTGGCTAAGAGCTGGTTTGGCACTCAGCCTTTCTGTCTTCTGTCAGACTTAATGCCGTGTTGTACTCCTGCAGTCAGCCCAGGCAGCTACTGAGCATCTTTTTTAAACGCATATACTGACCTTTGAGTAACGCTTGAAGAATGGCTACATCCACGTCGCCCTGTTTGTCTTCGGTTGCTGTGAATACCGTCAACAAGTGAGACATCCTGATGATGTCCTGAATCTGGAACAGATGACGGACGTAATGTGCAAAATTTCACAACAAACTTTGTGCAAAACATTTTGATTTCTGGTATTTTGTTCTTTAGTTGCAGGAAATTGCTGGAACCAGATTAGAGCAATATTGGAGAGACCTTCCAACAACTTGAGGGAATGTAGCAGGATGCCACGGTCCGCCCCATCACATACGATGTTAAGGTCCATTAGAGTGAAGCAGTTACCATTATTGGACACAGCTGAGAGATCACATGGAATCCCAAAAGTAGAAGAAAGTGGCCCTGGAAAGGCAGCATTCTCTAACAAGATGTGACCTGAATCCAGATGGATTTTTAAAATACTGCCGACTTTTCTAAATGACATTTTCATTTTCCATGTCTGGTCGGCCATTTTGGTGTAAATATCTTGATGACTGGTACTTAAGTTTGTAGGTTCCCAGTACTCTGTTCTGATTTTAGTGATATCGATTTTTCTCCTTGAGGTTGACGTGGTTCAGAGTGAAGTTTCTGGACAACTAGTTATTGGAATCCCATTACATTTTCCACATATATTCTTGGTTCCTTTAGGATAAATTCCTTGCAGATCCTCAAACACTTCCTGTAGCACCACCAACAGGCCAAAGTTTTCCCTCAGTCACTAAACTATGTCAGTATTGGCGGGATGCATTGGTAAGAAGTCTGTGTATTCATGGTTCACTGAGGAAGATTCTTACTGACATTGATGGTCCCCTGATTTTTTGGTGTTGCCAATATGAGGCTACACTTAATGTAAAGTGTGAAGGACATTCCTGAGTCCAAGTCGGTGAATTCTACTGATTTTCCACTTGCACCAACATGAGGTTCACATTTGTTTTTCAGAGTGTGTCTTGATACCTAATGGATGGATTAAACTTTATACAATATTCAAGGTCCCTAAAGGATCACGTTTTTACTCATTCAGTGAAATATCTCAACATTGGTGTGACGGATTGGTACAAAAATCTGGCGTTCGTGGCTCCCAGATGATAAATCCGTCCATCCTTGTTGTGGCTTTTCCTGTAGTGCTGCTATAACGTTACACCTGTCTGATTGGCAGATCTTGCATTTACGGCCATCATTGTGCCAAACTGACCAAAACTCTGCATAATTTGTGAAATTCATCCATCCATCATCTATACACCGCTTAATCCTCACTGGGGTCATGGGGGGCTGGAGTCTATCCCAGCTGACTCAGGGTGAAGGCAGGGGACACCCTGGACAGGTCACCAGTCTATCACAGGGCTACACTTAGAGACAGACAACCAAGCACACTCACATTCACACCTACGGACAATTTAGAATCACCAATTAACCTCAACATGTTTTTGGACTGTGTGGGAGGAAGCCGGAGAACCCGGAGAGAACCCACACTGCACAGGATGTCCTCACTAGGACGCAAACCGGCAACCTTCTAGCTGCAAGGCGATGGTGCTAACCACTGAGCCACCTTGCAGCCCTGGACAGAAACAGCATTTTGGAAACTAGCCTGTTTTTGTTGAGGTCATCAGTACATTCACTTACCTTCTTGGTCCATTCTATGATGCTGAGGTAAGGAAACCTTTCATACTCTTCACCGAAAAACTTTTTCATCAGCACGTGGATGAGGGCGATAGTGACCTGGGAAACCGGCAGTCCTGACACCTGAGCGATTACATCTGCTATTCTCCCAGAGCCCTCCATGATCACACATGGTGTACCGTTCAGCATGGCATTGTAGATGGTCTGAGAGGAGACACAAGAGAGTCAGACGAGACACTTAAAGAGAAAGAAGAAGGAGGAGGTGAAAAACTGCTTACTCACATTCAACGTGCCTGGTCCTCCATCCAAAACCACACACACCACGGGGATGGTCACACCGGTCTCTAGAGGTTAGATGATAAAAAAATCAATATTAAGAGCAAGACAGACAAAAACAATCACATTTGAGATGTTATCTGTAAGGGCTTGCTGCTTCTGTAGATATTGCATCAACTATTTTTAACCTTTGTTGCCAAGACGCTTCCCGGAGATGCATTTCTCTAGATGGCTACGCAGCTCGATCTCCACACCGTAGTGCCCGTGGGTCCCGTCGTCCACCAGCAGGAAGTGGGTATGGTTGCTGTCGAGACAGGACAGTCGGTCCTGGGTCTTGGTGTCCATTAAATAGTGGGCAGGGAAACAACCCTGCAGGGGAAGAGCGACAAAATCCAGACTGTATGTTATGCAGCTGATGAACAGGAAAAAGACAAGCCACATGTGTAAAATGTGTTCATCCTACCTCTGGATGCACCAGAGCATCTCTATTGTGAATTACTCCCCATGTTGCCACGCCGATGGCCACGATGTTGCCCTGCACGGAGCTGCTCAGGGCGTAATCCCTCACGGCCTGCCCTACATGCTTCATTACGCCCGCGTGGGTACCACCAGTGATGATCCACGCACCTGCAGCGAGCCCAGAGCATGAGTTACAGCATGTCGATCAGCACAACAACAACAACAACAACAACAACAAGCACAAAAAATCCCGGTCATCCTCTAGAATTTCCACAGGAGAGATCTTGTGGTCTCCAGCTTATACAAAGGAAAACACATTAGCAAGTGTAGCTGCCAGTAACTTCAAATTAATCAGTACGGCAAATGGGAAATGCAAAGAGTGTGAAATGTAATTGTGGCTTAATTTGTGGAATTGTTTCTGGACCAGTGACTTCCTAGAGGTGTCATGTGACAGGGAGGTTGCCAGGCAACCAGCAGAAACCCCTGGATATTGTATTATCTTTTTTTGAACTTAAATCAAATCAAATCAAGTTTATTGTCATTTTGCTGTACATACACAGCAGCACAGGCAAGATGAGAGAGCGCTCCTTCAGGATCCTTTACTTGAACCTCTGGGATAGGCAAGACACTAAACATAAACTTAGTATGCAAGTCAATAATTCACTTTATTGGAAACACTCCTTTTCAAGCCGCTCTTACAGAAGGAATGGAGCTTCCTTAGGGTGAAAGCGAAAGTATATTTGACCTCTAAATCACTGACTGCATGAATGAAGGAAGGAGGTGGCATGTCCTCCACAACCACACCTGCCCTCATAAAACAAATGTTTTCACAGCCTTTCTGGCTAATGATTTGTGCACATTAACGTCTCACACACACCGGCTGACCTGTAGTCTGGGCCACTTTGATAAGACCTCTGTGGAACATGTTCTTGAGACGAGTCTTCAGATAGAAATTCTTGGCTCCTCCGGTCACCGAGATCAGCAGGTTCGGAGGGGGAAGCTTCCAGAGTTCAGTCAGTAAGTGGTACAGGTCGTCTGGGTTGGCATCAGTGGACACTCGCGCGTACTGACAAACAGAAACACAAGAGGCCAGGATAAAGTCATGCAGGCACACATTCATACACTCTGATTGCAGTGGAGAACACCTTCACCTTGCCCTTCTTTTGCCCCAAACCACCGAAGCTGATGTCTCCGAAAGCATCAGTGGGCATTTCGCGGACATGTCGGTGCTTGTTCCACAGCTCGCCCGTGAAGTCCTCTGGCTTGATGGCCTCATCGATGTGGCTGGTCTTTGGGTAGCCACACTTACACACATCAGATCTAGTGGAGAAACCGAGATGTGTAATGTTTAATGGAAATGACACAGATAAAACAGAAACACAGTTACACATAGTCGGCAGAATTAACATTCAGTTGTGAGCAAAAGTTTGGCCATTGCTGGTAAAACTATCTACGTTGATTTTTGCGATTCTTTCAGGAAAAATGCTTTAAAAAGTTTATTCAAGCTCAAACTGATCTTCATCCGTCCACATCTCTTGTTGCTAAAAAGGCTTTGGGTTATCCGGATGTTGCTTTGCATATTTCAGTAGACCAGCAAGTAAGATCTTCTTTAAGGGATTCATCCTGTTCTTTGTATCAGTGAAACATCAGCTCAACATCAGCTCAACCTTCTTGCAGTTCCTTTGCAGTCATATGAAGGTTTTTTTTGTCTTTTCTGCCCAGCTGACGTCCAGTTTTATTTTCCACATCTTCTCTTAAGTTCACCATTTCTTGAGGTCATTTCAGACGAGTTGGAAGCACTTAGATGTTGATATTCTTTTATAGCCGTCCCCTGATTTCTAGGCATCAGTTAGCTTCATTTTCCCATCATCAGTCATTTACGTAGAAGATCCCTGTGATCTTCAAAGCAATTAACAGTCATTAGCCGACACTCTTGACCTGCTTAAAGCCCTAACAAGTCAATTAAGGCCTAACAAGTTAATGAAGTCCAGAGAATGTATAATCAGCAGTGTGCCCAAGCTAAAAAAAAATTTAAATTCATGAAATCTAAAAATAAATCACAGTGCAGTTTAATTTGAATAATAATTCTTTAAAAAAAAATCAACATAACATGCCAGTTGGTGACCAAACTTTTGCGACAAGCTGGAAACCACTAGTAAGTTCAATTGTTATGCAACTCCCCATCCCAGCAAAGTGTCTCTGCATCCCTGTGCAGCAGCAGCATCAGCAGCAGCTACCAGCTCAGTCACAACACCGTCCTCACCAAACAAACAAAGCAGCTCATCCTACCTGCCATCTTTTTCAAATAGGCAACACTCCTTCTTGCAGAGGTTCTCCTTGACCCAGGAGGCAAAGGCAAAGCGCTGGAAAGAAGGCGACAGAGAGAGGTCTTTAGAGTTTTTGACTATCCGGCGCACCGCAGTATTAAGCAGCCATGGCCCCGACTCAGAATCCCCCATCCTGGTGCAACACTTGGGGGGGCAAATCCGATCAGATCCGCCTCGGGCTGCCGGCTGACAGCATGAGAGGAGAGTAGGAGGCTCTGCAGTCGGAGCTGTGGGTGCTGGCTTGCACTCAGCACTGCATCAGTGATGTCAGAGCTGCTGAGGAGACTGAGGCTTGAAACCCGACCAAACCTCAGACACACTGCACGGGGCAGCAGGCAGGAGGGTGGATCGATGGAGCACTGCATTACTGAGATTGAGTTCCAGTTTTGGCAGAATACCCAGAGTGGTTTATCATGCTTGTGAGCAAGAGATACAGATTTGTTCAGGGTTTTTTTTTTTTTTGACAAACTGCCATCCAGAGGTGAACAATGACAAAGCATCTTTACTCAAACACTCCTGGCCTCTACTCCAGTGGTTCTCAAACTTTTTAACCCCCAAGATAACATAAGTTTGTGTTTGTGACCCCCCAGTTTGAATTTTTAATATGGCATCAGTAGCAATGTTATTGTTCATTTATTAATGCATGAAAAATTAATATTAGTTCCACAGATTCATCTCTTTACATTAACACATTCATTTTATTTTAAATGAATGAATGAATTGAATTTATTTTGAACAAATGAAAGGGTAAAAAATATAAAAACAAACTAAAATAATTGAAAAAAGAGCAGAATAATAATATTGCATAATCGAATCATAATATTAACAAGTTTGAAAAAGGAGTGGGAAGAAGTTTTAATTTTGACAGCCCTAATACAAATTTGATAAATGTCGGCTTTATTTTTTTAATCTTTTTTTGTGATGATCTGGCGACCCCCTGAAATGATCTTGGGACCCCCATAGAGGTCCCGATCCCCAGTTTGAGAACCCCTGCTCTACTTGACTACATATCAGGGAAAGAGACCTACAGTTTAAGAGCTATAGTTCCTTGGTGATATTAATATTTTAAACACAACAAATCAGCCAATGAAATAACTCATTATAATAGATTGAAGCACAGAACATATGAATATGAAGCACATCAAGTTTGTAAAGTTAGCTCCACCTCAACTAATTGCAACAATAAAGCACCACTGATGTGTTAAAATGCATGAGTAATAACGGTGTAACTACTGCAATACTGCAATATTAATATAATATAAGTGCTTCTACATTTCCCGCTAATACTCCTGTACTGTTACTAGAGTACAACTATGAATGCAGGACTTGTGGTATTACTACTATTACTACTGAAAGTATCCAATGATAGATCTGCTTTTAAAGACTCCAAATGAAACCGTCTGTCCCACAAAACGATTTCCCGCCATGTTTCTTCAGCTTTTATATCCATCCCCGGTGCTTGCAGGCATCTTTTATATTCATTTTTATCTTGTTTTTCTCCTATCAGGCGTGAAAAACGGCGCTACGGTAGCAAATGTAATACAACAACTAATAAAACGCCAGTCCCCTCGCTCCTCACGGCGTTTGATCAGAGCACACAGCAGGTAAACACTCACCTGTTTTAAATAAGAAAACTCTCGATTCAGTGCAGAGTGCTGCTCCGTCATTTCCTTTGGGCGAAACTTGTTGTCAGATTTAGGCAGCATTTCTAAGGAAGATTAAAAAAAAGAATAATAATAAAATAGTTGAAACCTTCTGTGTGAATGTAGGATCCTGTGCTTAGGTCTTGTGAAGGAAGACAAGAAGCAGCAGAAGGTGCATCTTATCAGTTATGGCCTGTTAACCTATAAAACCTGGGACTTTATCTTGCTGACATGTGAGCTGTCCTGCATTCTGTCAACGCCGAACTTCCTGCAAGAGCACGACACCAACTTGACAGACAAATTTTAAATCAAGCAACCGCACCTAAAACAACCCAGTCCCACACTGACCTGTTGCTTCAGACGTCATCAGTAAATCCTTCATTATCACGACACAGAGGCTCTAATTACTTTATGCAGCTCTGCTAAATGTCTCCACCCTCTCGAAATACGATTAACCTCCTCCCTTCTTGTGCTTCTGCCAGAAAAGATAATCTGATACACAGTCAGGCGTCACGTTACCAAAGACTGAGACGCAGAATATTCAAAAATGAGACCTTTAAACATGTGGTGTGTTCAAATCCCACGAGAAAAGGGAGAAAAGATTTACAAATAAAAATCAACATTTAAGTTGTGATTTGTCATATTGAATATTACCTGTCATGCTGCCTTCAGAGCCGCCTTTCATTCGAATAAACAACAGCAGCAACATGAAGTGGTTTGTAGTGAGCAACACACATTTTTGCAAAAGTGCTGCTTCATGTCATATAGTGCTTGTTGCCAGGTGACACCTATTGAACTAGAGATCTCGTTACTGAGTTGAGCAGTGGGTCATTGTCAGGAGCTTGGATTCTATCAGTGTTTGTAACTAAAGCTGCTGGAGTTTCTTCCTCTGTAGTTGGTTTTTTCTTAACCTTGGCAACATGTCCACGGTTGAGCATGTTCACGTTGAAGCTGCAGTGCACCAACGTCAAAACATTCATCAAGACTTTGTTAGCCCGGTTCTTTAGTTGGAAGAACAAACCAGTGAAATCTTCAGTTCGGACTGACAGAGCCCTGATGTCTGGAAATGATTCACATTTATCTTCTTGGGCTGGGAGGTCGGACTTGTGGGTACACTGAGGTTAATTGGCCAGTTACTGTAACGTGAACACGCCGACCACCGTTCACGAGGAAGTTCACTGGAATGTAAACAGAAACTGCTTTGATCAAATACAAAGTGTGTGTGTGTGTTGTCCAACAGGTGTGTAACTAATGCAACGGACTTATCTGAGGTGTACAGTCTGAGTGTTGGTGATAAAGTCATATTTAACACACAGGTGAAAAGTGCAAACAGTAAGCACCAAGTGAAAAGTGTGCAGAACTGAATTCATATGTTATGAGAATCCTGTAGGACCTGAGCTGGAGTAAGAACACTAGCGATCTTTAAGCGGTTCTAGTATTTCCTGAGGAAGCTGAAACAAGCCTCCCTCCCTGCCAGCATCCTGGTGGAGTCATACTGCATGTCCACATGGTGCTCCAGCTGCAGTGTGTCAGACAGAGAAGTCCTGCAGAAGACAGTCAGAGGAGCTGAGAGGATCATCGGATTTTCCCTCACTGGCTCTGTCCAAGAACTTTCCCAGAGCTGCTGCAGGTGCAGGACTCTGAACATTATCGGAGACTCCTCCCACCCTCTCCTTAAACAGTTTGAACTGCTGCCATCAGGCAAACGTTTCCATAGCGTTAAAGGAAGAACCTCCAGACTGATCAACAGCTTCATGCCACAAGCTGTCAGAATGCTGAACTGCTGATCCAGATATGCAAACACTTCTGTATTTAAATTGCTTTAAGCTACTGGATCCTGAAGAAACGCTCTCTCATCTTGCCTGTACTACTGTGTGTGTACAGCAAGATGACAATAAACTTGATTTGATTTGATATGACATCTCTAGACAAAGCCAATTATAACAACTTCATGCTAGCTTTTCAATTACAAGACTTTTTTTGTGTAGCTGAATCACTCCAGTATCAGAACTTACCACTGTGCAGTGCAGATTAGGTTTACAGCGTCTGAGCAGAGTCATAGGTGAGCTGGTGTGCTTGAGCTGCAGCGCCCACTGAAGCCGTGGGCGAAGGGAGCAGCGGAAACTTCGTAGATCTGCACATTCTAAAGGAAGCAACAGCAAAGAGTTGCATCGGTGCCATTTTAAAGCACAGAGGGATTGTGGAAATTTTTGTACAAAGAGATGAAATTAGTAAATCATCAAACACCTGGACCAGTCTAGAAGAAGGAAGGGAGAAACAAGGGACGTCACACAGCAACTAGGATGCAGAGAGAAGCTCGTACACTGAGTGTCACAACAAGCTACAAGGAACACCAAGTCTCTGCTGCAGGCAAATACAAAAACAGATGCAACTAGCAGTTATTAATGAGGGAACAGAAGAGACAGAGCTGAAGGCCGTTGACTCCCTGATGGTCAGACTCACTGTGCTTTTGAAGCAGGCGATGGAGGTTACTGCTGCAGCGTGATTGGAGGATGGAACCGGACACTGGACGTATCAGTGACAGAAACATCAGCGAGGCGGGAGCCAGGAGCCTGAACAAGACCTTGAACATATCAGCTGGCAGAGAGACAAATAAAACAACAAAAACCTCACAACAGGCCTCAGGTGCAGTAGTTCTGTGTGTATAGGATGAAGCTGGAGTTAGTTTCTGATGTGGCAGTTAAGAGAACAGTTAAGGAAAACTTAACTCACAGCAGCACTAAGCAGGAAATTTTCTTTTCACATATTATTGATGTAAATCT